TTTCTTTTAAACTTAGCGTAACATAGTTTACACACTGCTGGATGGTTTGAAACATTTTAAATACTTTTGCCGTCATATGGGGTTGCAATATATCACACCACAACAAAAAAGAGAGAAAAAAAGTATCCGACAAGTTCCCTGTTGTTGCTCTCGTTTCCTTTATAATGGCGTTGCCAAAGTGACTTAAAATACTTTATGTTTTGTTAACAACAGTTATGGTTTATATAATATTCCCTAAGCGGATTCATAGTTTGTGTCGCATATGAAAGCAAACGTGGAGAGCTATGTTCCACAAGGTGTGATACAATGTTGTGAATCACGACCGTATAACAGGTTGGGATGTATCAGTCGGTTTGGAATACAACTGCATGTCATGTTTACTGTTTCAGACCCTGGATCGAAATCTGCTTTTGGAGATTTGGAATCGATATAGCGATGTGTGTTTGTCCAACCATCTGTCGGGCTGGAGTGCATAATAACTCTTTAAGGGATAATCCGATTTACTCCAAATGTAATACATCGTAAAATTTCTCTCAAAATGGCAATTTTGCCCATAACCGTCAAAATTGGCACACTACTCTCTTGCACCTCACCAACTAGAGGTCAACAACAAAATGACAGCAATTTTCAAGAAAATAAAATCCGATAAAAGTTTTCTTAAAATCTTAAAAATACCGATTATAGCCGCTATATTAGGAACTATACGATGACGTGGACCTGCATTGGCAACTTTTGTTATAAGCAATCACAATATTCAAATGCGAAACTTAAAAAAATCGAAAATCAACAAAGTACCGAATATCGGGAGGTACCGTTATATGAGAGCTGTACGAAGACGTGGACAGACAATTTTCTGTCTTAAGCTATAGTGTTTGTATATTTGAAGCTCGCAATCAAATATTAAATTTGAAACAATTCTGGTGAATAATGTGGCTAAAATCATCCAAAGGCCGAATATCGGGGGTACTGTTATATGGGGACTATACAAAGACATAAACCTGCACACAAAATTTTCTGTCATAGGCTGTAGTACCCATTACGAACTCAGAATACCAAATTTAAAACATTTGCGGTGAATAATGTCGCTTTAATCACCAAAATACAGAAAAAATGGAGGTAGCATTGGAGGGGCCATGTCAACACGTGGACCTCCAAGCTCCATTTTCCGTACCAAAAGCCTTGCACCAACCTTGCACAACCTACTTCATTTCGTTCGGAAGCTAGAGTGACTTCCACTTACGGAAGGACATCACTAAATCGACATAGAATTTTATGCTGATCAAGAATATATATATACTTTGTGGGGTCTAAAATGTATATTTCGAAGTATTACTAACGGAATGACAAATGTAATATACACTACATACTATGGCGGAGGATTTAATAGCTTCCATGAAATAAAAAATCTCACATTTCTTATAAATAGGAGGGTGGTACCAGGTACATTTCAAATGACAATTCATCAACGAGTTAAAAAAACGATATATTTTTATACCCTCCACCTTGAAAAGGCGGGTACTTTATATTTGTCACTCCATTTGTAAATCTCTAAATATTCGTCATTGACCCCATTAAGTACATATTCACGATCAGCATAAAATTCTAAGTCGATTTAACGACATCCCTGTCAGTCTGCCTCTTGATATTAGAGGTTCAGCGTTTCATCCCGATATTAGGTATTTTGTTGGTTTTAGCCACATATTCCCACTAACTTATCTACAAATTAGTATTTGTTGTTTGTAATGGGTTCTACCTCCGATGGAGGAACATCGTACATGCAGGGTGAGATAAAAAAACTGCAACAAACAAAAACACCATAATTTTTACATTTTTTTTATTGAGTGAAAGCAAAAATGTCGGATATAGCATCGAATTTTAGAATAAGTTTAGATTTGTTCGAATCGCACGCCTTTGGCACGCATTATGGTCTTCAAACGGCCAACGAAACCGTCACACACTGCCCTAATGTTTCTCTGCGGTATTTTGTCCTATTCCCGGCAAAGCGCTTGCTTGAGGTGATCGACACTTCGGTATTTTTTAGTGCCAAGCTTGCTTTCCAAAATACTCAAGACAGAATAGAACAACGGATTGGCATCCGGAGATTTTGGTGGCTTTTGTGCGCTGGAAATGAAGCGAGGAACCTCATTTTGTAACCATTCTTGAGTGCGATGCTGCTGAGTCCTATTGGAATGTCCAAGGTCTGCGGCCAAAATGTTTGCGTGCCCAAGGCTTTAATACACGCTCCAGGATATTTTCGGAATTTATTCTGATGTCACGGTTATGGGACCGCCACCATCACCATGGTCGGCGCTTGTGTTCTGAACCGAAGGTGCACATTTTCAGCTGACCTCTTTGGCGATAATTTTGTTTGTTTACAAACTGCTAGGCAATGAAGGTTTTCTCATTTCGGCCAAGTGAAGCAACTCTTTAGCTCTTTTGAATCGATTTTCTTTCTGTTGCGGTGTAAGTTCTTGCACTTTTTGGAATTTCAATGGCTTTACCCCGAGCTCATTTTTCAATATTTGCCGAATGGATTATTGCGATATGTTCAGCTCACGAGCCATTTTTCGGCCACTGCGACGCGGGTTTCGATCAAGTCGCTTCTTTACTTTTCGAACCCTTTCTGCTGATGTTGCTGTTTTCTTCCGCCCACTTCCTTGACATATGTCGGGCTACGCTACCAGTATCACGGTAACGAGCGATGGTACGAGACACAAAAGATTTATTCACATTTAAACGCTGGAGTGCTCTAACTATAGCCACTTTTGGTTTTCCAGTCAAAAATTAAGAAATAACACTATCACCCTTGAATTCCATCACGAATAACTTTTTTTTCCGGAAAATTCTCACCAAAATGTTTTTGCATGCTTGTAAAGAATAGATTGAGATGTCACTGGAATAATTTTAACAGCTGTCGGACGAGTGGCTTAGAAATGACAGCAGTCTGAATTTCGTGGCAGTTTTTATGCCCTACAACACTATGTGTTGGGGTATTATAAGTTTGATTGGGCCCAAAATGATGTAACACCTCGAAATATTGGTTTCCCACATAGGAGAGTATATATAGGTCTTCCTAGCTCGCCGAGCTGAGTCGATCTAGCTATGTATGTCCGTCCGTCCGTCTGTCCATGTTAATTTGTAATCACTCTACAGGTCGCAATTATGGCCCGATCTTTACGAAATTTAGAATAGAGCCCCACCTCCATTCTAAGAGCCAGAATAGAACGCTGTTGCTTTTTGGGATGATCGCATAATATTTAGGGGTTGAAATGGACCAAAAACCTGAAAAATTTCTTTGTTTTGCAGTTGCTCTACAGGACACAATTGTAGACCAATCGCGGAAATTAGCATGGGGCTAGGGGTTGGGCAGAAGCCTTCCAATTTTTATGGTCATCGGGAAATATTTAGTGATTTCACCCACTAGATATTTCCCGATTGCCACAAAATTTGTGATAAATAAAAGTCAAAATTTCCATTAAACCGTGAATATTTTTAATCCCGGCGAAATCACAAATAGACGAAGAGGTCAATTCTGACCGTTACGTAAATGCCGATAGTAAATATATCGGATATATGTAGCGAAATAAAAACAATGTATATATACAAAGGAAGGGGCTAGAAGCTAGAATGCTTATATCTCAAGAATGGTTGTACCGATTTTGAAAAATTTTGTCAATTCAGAGTGCCCTCTTGGCATAATAGTATAAAATCTAAAAAAATCGCATAAAAAGATGCCAATAATTATGATAATAAAGATTTTGTAGGATTTTGTGACATATTTTTATTTAATCATATTTTTTATCGCATGCGATTTTTTTCATTTTGTCTTATAATATTGAAGTGTATATTTTGTAATATTTTTTCACCTTACAACACAGGTTTGGGTTAATATTTATATGCAGATTGCAATTATCGTTCGATCCTCACGAATTTTTTCACAAAGGTAGGTTTAGGCTCAGATGGGCTTAGCCTATTATTTGCAAAGATGTCCGCAATATATTTAGGGGATGAAATGGACCAGCAACTCAAAATGTTCCTGATTTTGCAGCCGTTATAAAGGTCCCAAATATAAACCTAAGGACACGAAATCTCGCACGAAGTTAGAGCTTAGGACAGCGGGTAGAATGGACCACTACTTTTGTGTAAAAAAATATCAACATTACTTACAGGCGATACACAGTAGGCGAACTTTTGGCTTTTTTATGCTAATTTCGTTGACGAATATAGCCAAATATCGTAGACAAGCAAATCATATAGATGAGTTTAAATTTGGAGACACAGAGGGGCCTTTTGCTTTTGGAGATGATCGCAAAATATTTAGGGGTTTAAATGAACCAAAAACAGGAAAAAAAATCCTCATCACACAATTGAAGCCAATCGACACGCCTGAGAAGATAGGTAAGCACAGGGAAGAGTTCTGGCATTTTGGATGACCATTGGAATATATTTAGCCGTAAAATAGAACACAAAAACTAACAGCACGGCAAAGTGCATAAATATTGGGCAAATGTCCCTGGTCAAAATGCTAAGGGTAAAATCTGGGCAGTGCTTCGTGACATGATTTCAAAAGCGAAATCTTCCAAAATGGATTTGGACATAAGGGGGCTTCTTACATATTGTAGTGTTGTAGGGTATCACATGATCGGCCCCCACGTCTATAGCCTTTTCTTACTTGTTTCATCTCATCATATTTTATATTGGACATCAGATACAGCTCGAAAACACCTATGCCAAATTTTATTGCGATCGGTTCAGATTTTTACGTAGCTTCGGTATACATCTTACAGTTTTTGTCCTCCATATATAAATACGCATAGTGGTGTAGTGTATCATATAGACGGCCCCTCTCGACTTTTGACCTTTCCTTACTGGTTTTATTTTATATATTAAATTTTGTGTCGCAGATGTGGGCTTTAAAATTACACCACATTCTTGCGAAATATCCTTGTATTTCAAAATTTATTTATATTCATGCATTTATTTTTCTCTTTAAATTGCAGGTGTCGCTTTTAAAGCCAAATTCATTGTCACAGGAGAATCAGCATAACAATATTCCCCGCTGGCCAGAATATGTATGTTTTTACATGTTTGCTAACAAAAATCCACAGATAGCCCAAGTGACATAGAAATTAATATTTCATGGAAAATCTAATAAAAACTCAAATGAATATCACCGTTCTGACAAACATGAAAATTAAATCAATGTTTTGTCAGACTAGGGGCGAATAAATGAATGGCTGAATGAACGGAATTCTCGCTGAGACCATGAATAGCAGCGAAACGCTAAAAAATGCTTACCAACTTGAGCACTGAAGCCACTGGTGGTCGCTGTTGATTACATCGTATCTGCAACCAGTCACACCTACGAATGCAGGCCAGCCAGCCATCAGCCATTCGACGAATCACAGCGTGCTAACTGATGCTTAAACAGTGATCAATAATAAAATAAATAAATCAACAGCATAAATTTTTTGCAAAATCAGTTGGCGTAAAAAAATCATTGGAATCAGCGTTTCAACGAATGGCGAACAGAAAAAAGCCGAAACGAAGCAACCAATGAATGTAAAAACCTGTCAGAATATATGTATGTATGCATGTGTGTGTGTTACAAGCAAATCCCCAATCCATATCCTTCAGGCCGTGGCATTTTTCTGTTTTTTGCTGTTTGGCATCAGCAGGAACAGCAGCAGTTCCAGTAAATATCAACAAAGTCAGCAGCTTTTAACGGCATCAACACCGACATCAACAACACCATTAAACTGAGCCTAATGAAATTGTAAATTTATAACACTTTTTCTCCATTTATTTTCATTTCACGTGAAACGAAGCAAAAACAGCAGCCAAGCCAAGCAAACAACAGCAACAGCAGCAACAAAAAAAAGGACTCACTTAAAATTGAAATTGAATTAACATAACCCTTATCAAAATTCATGCGCTTGAACATGTAGGACACGGGACACGCTTGAGTCAAATCAATATTGAACAACGCACTTGCTCTCACATACACACAGAAACATACAAACACACACGTATACATACACGCGCGCTTATAACTTGGCTGAAACAAAGCGTAACAAAGTATAAGAAAGAGCAAAAACTAATAGAAATTATAAAGACCTACGCAGGATAACGAAGGACGTGTCATACAACGAACACACCCCGACCCCCCTACACAACTTGTAACAAGGATAATAACAAATAAAACCAACACCACCACCACCACCCCCTCTCATCTTCATCGACATCCTCTCGGCTACAGGAAAACCCACATCACCATTAGTCAGAGCAGGGCCAAGGCCAACAACAGGATCATTGTCAGCATTGTAAGCGTTTTCGTTCGGCCCAAAATGTAATGGAATTAAGTGGCATACACAAAAAATGGATTTCGTCGGCCTTTTTAAGGCTGTTTTATTCCTGTACACAGTCAGAGGTAAGTCAAATCTTTCAGCTTGGCCAATGTCCCATTTAGTGTTGGGAGGGGGGCTTGAAATGAAATCCAATTCTGGGTTTGTTTTTTGCCGGCTAAAATCCCCATAGACATCTAGTTGAGTGTATTTAAAAAAAATATGTAATCTCAAATTTTAAAATTGAATTAATATTCAATGACACAGGCTAAATCGCCGGATCTAAACGTGATATAAGCGAAAACTCCATTCTCATCAGAGAAATAGCGAGACAGCACTGTTTAAGTTAGAGTTTTGAATTGAATGGGAAGAGATTTATGTGAGATATAAACATGCATTTTTTGACACAACTAAACTAACTAAATTCGGCGAGGCCGAACATTCGATACCCTCCACCATTCGGAAAAGAACCGTTGTATAGAGTGCAGATGTCTACGGCGGGAATGGTTTTCGGTTAGCTCTCACTGGAAGTAGTTTAATTGTATAACCAATAAGGAAAAAGTCAGAAGTCGAGCGGGACCGACTATATATCACTATGCATATTCAGTAGAACTCCCATAACAGCGGTTATAATTTGATTCCAGAGGGAACGAATATATGGGAGGCATATCCAATTCTGAATGGATTTTCACTAAATTTGACGGAGACATTTTAATCTTTTATGCCAAATAACATTGCTATATAGTGCATGATATCACTTTGAAAAGGATTATATTAAAAACAAGTAAGCAAAGGCTATACTCGTCCGAGGCAAACCATGTAATACCCTACAACACTACAATATGTTAGAACCCTTTTATGTCCAAATCCATTTTGGAAGATTTCGCTTTTGATCACGGAGCACTGCCAAGATATTACCCTTAGCATTTGAACAGGGACATTTGCCCAATATTTACGCACTACGTCGTTATGTTAGTTGTTGTGGTCCATTTTACAGCTAATAGTAATCCAATGGTCATCCAAAATGGTAGAATTATTCCCTGTCCTTAACTCTCTTCTCAGGCATGTCGATTAGCTTCAATTATGTGATCAGGATTTTTTTTTTCTGTTTTTGGTCCATTTTAACCCCTAAATATGTTGCGGACATCTTTGAAATCAATAGACCTAGCCCTTCTGAGCGTAACCCTACACTTGTGAAAATTTTTGGGAGGATCGGGCGATAATTGCAGACTTTATATAATAACCAAAACCTGTGCTGTAAGGTGAAAAAATATTACAAAATATACACTTCAATATTAAGTCAAATTGAAAAAATCGCATGCGATAAAAAGTATGAAAAAACAAGTAAGCAAAGGCTATAGTCGTGCGGAGCCGACCATGTGATACCCTACAACACTACAATATGTTATAAGCACCCTTATGGAAGATTTCGCTTTTGAAATTTTGTCATGGAGCATTGCCCAGATATTGCCCTTTTCCATTTTAACCAGGGATATTTGAGCCACTAAAAATGCATCTAAAACTTAAAACCTATCTACATGATTTGCTTGTCTACGATATTTGACTATATTCATCAACAAAATCAGCATAAAAAACCAGAAGTTCGCCTTTTGTGTATTTCGGATATCGCCTGTAATTAATGTTGGTATTTTATTTACACAAAAGTAGTGGTCCATTCTACCCGCGGTCCTAAACCCTAACTACATGGGAGATTTCATGTCCTTTGGTTTCTTTTTGCGACCTTATAACGGCTGCAAAATCAGGAACATTTTTAGTGGTTGGTCCATTTTAACCCCTAAATATTGGTCCATTTCAACCCTAAATAATATAGTCATCTTGAAAACAATAGCTCTTGTGAGCCTTGTGAAAATTTTCGTGAACTCGGACGATAATTTTAATTTGTATATAATAATCCCAACCCGTGTTGTAAGGTGAAACATTTTTACAAAATTACATTTCAATTTATAAGTCAAATTGAAAAAATCGCATGCGATAAAAAATATGAAAAAATAAAAAAATGTCACAAAATGGTACAAAATCTATAATAACACCATTATTGACACACTTTTATGCGATTTTTTTAGATTTTATTCGCTTATGCGAAGAGGGTATTCTGAATTGACAAAATTTGTCAAAATCGGTAAAGCCATTCTTGAGATATATGCATTCTAGCTAACATCCCCTTCCATTGTATATACACATTGTTTATATTCCGCTATATATATCCGATATATTCACTATCGACATTTACGTAACGGTCAGAATTGACCTCTTCATCTATTTGTGATTTCGCCGTGATTAGAAATATTCGCGGTTTAATGGAAAATTTGACTTTTATTTAACACAAATGTTATGGTCTATTTCACCCACTAAATATTACCCGATGACCATCAAAATTGGAAGACTTCTGCCCAGCCTAAAGCTCTAGCCGCATGCTAACTTTCGCATCGATTGGTCTATAACTGCGACCTGTAGAGCAACTGCAAAATTTGGAAAATTATTCAGTTTTTGGTCCATTTCAACCCCTAAATATTAAGCGATCATCTCCAAAAGAAATAGGGTTCTATTCTGACATTAACCCCACCTCCATTTTCAATTTCGTGAGGATTGGGCCATAATTGCGACCTGTAGAGTGATTACAAATTAACGTGGACAAACGGACGGACGGACGGACATACATAGCTAGATCGACTCAGCTCGACGAGATAGGAAGATCCATATATACTTTCCTATGTGGGAAACCAATATTTCGAGGTGTTACATAATTTTTGGCCCAATCAAACTTATAATACCCCCAACACATAGTGTTGTAGGGTATAAAAATATATCGGAGCCGAGTTCCACAAAATGGAAACATACGTCCGTGGAAACATTCACTCTTTTTGGACTGATATTAGCCAAATAATGGCACAATAAACTAGAAATCGGATTTAGGACATATATGGGAGCTATATCCAAATCTTAGCCGATCTCGATAAAATTTGACAAAGGTATTTCCGAGCTCTATAAGATATGTGGTACAAATTTGATAGACTTGCTTTTAGACTGAATTCGGTCGGATGTGCCAAAATTCAGGTCATTTGGTTTGATATTGGCAATTTAGTGCAAAATAAACCCGAAATCGGCTGAAGATATATAGTGAGCTATATCCAAATCTGAACCGATGTTGAGGTTCAGATGTATTTCTTGGCTGCATCTGATACCAAATATCATATCACGAATTTTAGAGACTTAAACACCAAACCAGATGAAACATGTACATGGGAGCCACAGGCTGAGATGAAAAAACTGCAACAAAATTCAGACTGTTGTCATTTCTAAGCCACTGGTCCGACAACTGTTGAAATTATTCCAGTGACAGCTCATTATATTGTTTACTAGCGTACAAAAGCATTTTGGTGAGAATTTTCCTGAAGAAAGGTTATTCGTTATGGAATTCAAGCGTGATAGTGTGATTTCTTTATATTTGGCAGAACAACCACAAGCGGCTCGTAAGCTGAACATATCGCAATATTTCATTCGGCAAATATTAAAAATTAGTAATTCCAAAAAGTGCAAGAACTTACACCGCAATAGAAAGAAAATAGCCTCAAAAGAGCTAAAGAGTTGCTTCGCTTGGGTAAGAGTGGTAACTGCCGAATTTGATTTTCTCCGATGAGAAAACATTCGTTGTCCAGCAGTTTGTAAACAACCAAAATGATCGTGTTTAGGTGTCATAGAGTTCAGCTGAAAATGTGCACCTTCGGTTGACCACCAGAACTCAAGCGCCGGCCATGGTGATGGTGTGGGCCGCCACGACAGCCGATGGTCGCTCTCCGCTCGTATTAATCGATCGTGGCACTCCAGACACAATAGTCCAAATGATTAGTATACGGAGATTTTGGTGGCCATTATGCACTGGAAATGAAGCAGGGAACCTCATTTTGTAACCATTCTTAAGTGGCGCGTGCTGAGTGCGATGGTGCTGGGTCCTGTTGGAATGTCCAAGATCTACGGCCAAAATGTTTGCGTGCCCAAGGCTTTAATACACCCTCCAGAATATTTTCGCGATAATATTCGACATTTATTCTGATGCCACGGTCGATTAACACGAGCGGAGAGCTACATCGACTGTTAATGCGGCCCACACCATCACCATGGCCGACGCTTAAGTTGGCTGGTAGCTAACCGAAAGTGCACATTTTCAGCTGACCTCTTTGGTGGCAAGTAAACACGATAATTTTGTTTGTTTACAAACAACGAATGTTTTCTCATTGGAGACGGAGAAAACCATACTCGGCAGTTCACCACTTTGGGCCAATGCGAAGCAACTCTTCAGCTCTTTTGAGTCTATTTTCTTTCTATTGCGGTGTAAGTTCTTGGCTTTACCCCGAGCTCACTTTTCAATATTTGCCGAATGGAATATTGCGATATGTTCAGCGCACGAGCCATTTTTCGGCCACTGCGACGCGGGTTTCGATCAAGTCGTTTCTTTACTTTTCGAACGCTTTCTGCTGATGTTGCTGTTTTCTTCCGCCCACTTCCTTGACATATGTCGGGCTACGCTACCAGTATCACGGTAACGAGCGATGGTACGAGACACAAAAAATTTATTCACATTTAAACGCTGGAGTGCTCTTACGATAGCCACTTGTTGTTTTCCAGCCAAATATAAAGAATTCACACTATCACGCTTGAATTCCATCACGAATAACTTTTTTTCTGCTCACCAAAATGCTTTAGTACGCTTGTAAACAATGTAATGAGCTGTCACTGGAATAATTTTAACAGCTGTCGGACGGGTGGCTTAGAAATGACAGCAGTCTGAATTTGGTTGCAGTTTTTTCATCTTACCCTGTATGCGTTTCAACCGATTTAATATATCATAATAAGTTTTCTATAGCAACGATTTATGGTATAAGAGGTCAGAAACAAAAGTAAAATATCTCCGTCTAATCGCGTAGGAATTTATTAGAATATATCTTCCAAGCGATGTTCCATCTGATATCAAATTTAAACCGCCCTAAGTCACAAAAGAGGACCTTAAAGAGGTGAGCTTCCATCACAGAAAAACAAGTGGGAATAATTTCAACGGCTAATTTAGCGA